ATGATGATTACGGTAACTTTGTGAATTAGGAATTTCTTACATTACGTCTGTGTTCTAAACCTGAATTCACAAAAATTCTTATTATAATAAAATTAGATAAGATTTGCAATAGATCTGTTCAACCAAAGTTCTTCATATGATACTTTACGATGCCCAATATATCTCAGAAGCTCAATGGCACATACACCATATTGTTTGTCACCCAGCACCTCTTCCCCCTTCTGGGTTATTATAGGGAAATGTTTCAGCAGGCTCTGCATTGACCATCTTAGTTCAATAGCCAGCCCACCTCATAAAGCCAACTCTAATAATACTGGTAATTAATGCTTCGTTATATCTTCAGGCCACTGACCATTCTCATTCTTTCCAGTTTCATGCATGTCTTTAAAACCTTTCTTTTAAAAATACAAAATTAATATTTTTCTCCTTATGTCAAAGTCTACCTTTCAGGAACATTGCACAGATGTGTTTCTGATATATCAAAAGTGTGAGGATTTGACAAACCGTAACTTTTAAACATGTTGTCAAAACTTACGAGTGGTTACCATATCATCAAGAAAGACCCATGGAAATATACATCTGCGAAGTCAAGTTATGGATTGTTGTTCAAAATGTGCTTCCCTCCCCAAAGTACAACTCTGGTTGGTACAATGACAATCTCACTGACCCTTCCAGGAGGTATTTGGTTCATATCTCATATGGAAACTGATTATCCTCAGGATTTTGTGGTTTCCTCCATTTATCTTGGCATTCCAGCATGGTTCCTTGAAATTGGTTGTGACCGCTCAGAATACCCAAATAGTCAACCAGTCGCATGGAAGCAAGTATGTTAAATGTGTAGAAGTTGGATCTTTAGTACAGTGAGAAAACTTGATGTGGGAATAATGCAACATCTCGGAAACTCATTCTAGCTGTACCAAAAGACAGGTTTACTAAGTGCCATTGTTTAGATTGCCTGCATCACAACAGAAAATAGTTCCCAATACAACCATCCACCTGTTACAGTTAAATATATGGTCCATGTAGATACGTAGGTTTCTATGCCTGAGATTATGTACATCTCAGCAACAAATAGCCATAAAATTATTTGAAAAACGATTACATTGAAAAAATGTTGTAGCTACCATGAAATGCTTCATTCATGGTTCCAGTTGCATGAGCAAGTGCATACTTAATATTTTGCTACCCCCAAAAAACAAGAATAAAACTGGATAATTGTCTTTGTATTTATTAGTAAGACTGTGCACTGGTCCTTGAAATGGTGTTGCAAATGCCAATGCTTCATTCCACATGTGATCTTGTTATACATTCCTTGTATGAAGTGCACAGTGAGAACGCATTATGGGCTCATCGTGTCTGTCCTTCTGTCTGTCTGTCCAGTCGATTCAACTCGAGAACCAGCGGATGGATTTGGATGAAATTTGATGTAGAGGTTTTGCTATTCGTACCTTTGGATATCCTACAAAGGTTGATACTGAAGTGAGAGTTGAGGAAATGTCATGAGGTAGACACTGAAGTGATGTGATCTGGAGGTCAAATTGGGAACCATCGAACAAGGCATATTTAATACCCCGAAATGCATGTTGCATAGAACACCTGAGGATATTATGTGTATGGATTACACATTCTGAGTTTGTTTTTATATCTGGTTCAAAATGACATATTGCAATATCAGAACCAGAGAAAAAACTGTGTGAGATTTGAGGTTTTAATGAGAGTGAGGATAATGATGACGTTCTTCTGGGTTTTGGTGCTGTGTGAACTTGTTGGTAAATACATCTACCGATAAGCATACACAGTGCCAAAACCCATAAAAAGAACGTTATAAAGTAAATACCGTTTATCAATATTTTCAAGTGCAGGTAACTAGGTTGGCTTATGCCAGTAAAAGTATAGAAATGTTAACTAATTAATGCAAACATAAAAGTAAAATTAACATTTACTAAAGAAAAAAGGTTATCAAAGGAAAATGAGGCAGTACCTCTTTGCAATTAAAGCAGATTATGTACCAAAAATGTAAGTGCACGCCAAGAGGATGATGTGATGAATGGTGTTACAGGAGATAATGCAAAGGCATTTTTGATAATCTTAAACCAGGAAGAAGCAAAAGAAGGTTAAGATACACAAAATAATTTTACTTGTTGTTTTTATATTTTAGTGTTGAAGCATCGAAAGTAGCCACATGAAAGGAAATGGGCAAATTATATTAAAATGAATGGAGAATATGAACTGATAGTTTCTGGGTAAAGTGGCAGTGTGGAACTTTCAGGTTCAACTAAGACAGCAGTTTACTGGTTAACCAGTAAAGTGAACTGAACTCCATAACTCTTAAAATTCATGTGAATTTTTCAATGTCAGGTGCTGAAAAGAGTAAAATAAGTAACAAAGAGCTTCAAGCCTTTACTGACGAACTGCTCAAGAAGGATGTCAACAATGCTGCGCAGTATATCCGCATAAACTATCAGGGGCATACAAAGTCTAGCAGTACAAGAGATGAAGCTCCAGAACCGTAAGTGTATATACAGTGACATGTGTCTGATTATTCAAGTGTGGACTGATAGGACAGAGAGGCTATCTTTAGTAAATTCAATCTTAATTTAAAGGTCTTGAGAGTATGTTAAATGTTATTAGAAAAGCTTTAAACCTTTCAGTGTGAAATGCATACTGTTTGTTGCGAGATGAAACTGTTGTGCCATAACATACAGTTTTGCTCAAAAGAAATTCAGTGTCAAATCAGCGTCTCTGATACAAATTTTACTTTAACATTAAAAAGTATCTTATTATATTCAGAATGATCAGATGCAGTGTTTGCCGTGTTGTAAAAATTCTCAGTCTGGTAAGTACTGACTGATACGGAATTTGTTAAGGTTGACAATTAAAGATTGTAGTTAAAGTAATTGTAAATAACACAGACCTGACCTGAAAAAGATTAAATGATAAGTTAGTTGTTTGGTCATGTTCTATGGTGGGATAATTAAGGGATATTCAGCTCCTTCTTCTATGGCTCTCCGGTCCGTATTCGGTCCATGGCCTCCGCAATTCTCCTCTTCCATTCAGTCCTATCCTCCGCTGCCTTATTCAGCTCCTAATATGTGCTTAATATCGTATATTAGGAGCTGAATATCCCATTTAAAACCAGTAAGAACGAAATTAATTTTTATGATGTGATGGTTTTTCTGAGCATTTCAGTATTAAAATAAGATAGAAACAAGATTTTTGTTTTGATTTTTATAGTCTTCCCCTTTTCTTTCATTGTATTCTTATTCATGTTTATAATCTTCTGTTCCTGAAAATACGTAACTCCTTTCTTCCTTTCCACT